GGTCCTATCCAGTCTTACAGCCTTAATGTTCTGACGAACTGAATTGTGCCATAAATTATAACATTATTAGGTAAGTGGATTGCTAGCATGCATTTTCATCTTAGCAAAGCTCACATTGTTTATTAGAATTTTTTTCTTTTGTTTTAACAAAAAAAAAACAAATTGCAGGTATTATGCCCCGGCTTTATGTTTCTTGATGTTTGCAGTCGGAATTTATTCAAATGAAAAAGATTTTGTTGAAGCTTTCAATAGACCACAAGCTTTTTTTTGCACGTTATCCTGCCCAATTTGTTCAAAAACCATTCATTGGTTATCTTTTTGGAACATTGGTCATGACAATGTGGGGCTTTCCAACTTCCTTAAGTAAGTGTCACCAAAATGCTAAGAATACTTGTATTTACTTGATCATACAAAGACAGAATATACAAATATATATACACGAGAGAATGCGACTAAAACTACATACACCCTACGATTCTGTTGGGTCTATTTTGGGTCTGACTACTTTATCCACTTCAATAATTATTATGCGCATAATTTGTTTATTATTATTCTTATTATGCGGATAATTTGTTTAGGTGCTGGGATTATGCTAACATCTTGCGTTAGTGGGGCCTAACTCTCGAACTATGCCACTTTTCTAATGGACCCCACGATGGCTCCACTAAGCATTGTTGTGACCTCATTATCTACTGCTATTGTTGTTTCTGTCACCCCACTTATAACGCTTTTGCTATTTGGAAAGAGCTTGCCTGTTGATGTCAAAGGAATGGTTTCCAATATTTTTCAGATTGTAGTTTCACCTCTTGTTGCTGGCTTGCTTTTTAACCGGTAAGGAGACATTCGTATGAATGCATTATATGATAAAAAAGAATTGATTTAATTTTCTTTAATTAAGCTTAATGGCCCGTTTGTTAGTTCTATTGTGTTTGGTGTGCATTGGGGTAATATGGAAAACTCCGCATACTAGTGAGCAACTATTTAGTGGTGGGTATTTTAGGTATTTACTTAATGTAGTTTTTTATGATAGAATCTGATGCTCACCACAGGTCTGTTATGTTATAGACCTAAAAGTTAAACTCAATTTCTTTTTCTAGAATCTTAGAAATTTTTTTTTTTGTTTCTTACGGATGTATTTTTTTTCATCTACAGATATTTGCCAAGAATGTCTAGCACCATACGACTCTTTTTACCTCTTTTATCAGTTCTAGTGACTTCACTATGTATCGTATATCCCATTGCTATTAACATATACTCTGGTTCATCGTCTTTTGAGATAACGCTTTTGGTGATTTTTATGGTGCATCATTTATCAGCATTTGTCCTCACAAATGCATTTTTACTGGCATTGTTTTCCACAATTCACCTAATGTCAAACCACTTCAGAGACAACTATCTTACAAAACAGGTTATTTATACTTCATCTTTTGCTTCTTTTTAAACTTGCAGTCTTCACTTTTTGACACTTGACTATAGGAAATAACAACGTACTTTGTATATATGTATTTTGTCCAAAATTGATCAATCTTACGTATTGTTGTGGTTGTTTTAAGCAAATTGCATGAAATAGAAACGTAATTTATTCTTTTTACAATATACACAATGTACTTAAATTTGTTACCCATAATAGCAATGTACTTACATTTTTTTACCATAATAGAACTTGCTTACATTTCTTTACACATAATAACAACATACTTACAATTCTTGTAATAATAGCAATGTACTTGTAGTTCTTTAAGGATAATACGAATATGTAACAAATAACGTACATTTCTTATATTAGTAGCAAATGTAGTTACATTGCTATTATGGGTCAATAATATAGTATATTGCTATTATCAATAGATAAATGTAAGAACATTTCTATAATGGGTAAAAATTATATAAGGTTGTTACCAGGGGTAATAAAATACAAGTATGTTGCTATTATAGTTAAAAAAAAAAAAGAATTAATTACGTAAGTCACATGTTAGGGTTTTGCTACATGTTTCAGGTTGGTAGAGATGAAGGGAGGAAGAAATCTTGATGCAACACCTTCTCATTGTAAATGGTGGTGGTGGTGGAGGGCGACGGATTAAAGAGGTGGGACCCTTGTATTTAGTGCTTATTTACTATAGATATAAATTGTAATTTAAAAAAAAAGATATAGAAGTCATTTTACATGGGTCAAGGAGCAACGTAAGAAATTGAAAACCTTGTAATATAATATTAATATAAATTGTAATTAAATAAAAAAAAAAGATAAAAGATACTAAAAAAGGTATAAAGGTCATTTTACATTGGTGGGGACCAACCATGTAAGAAATTGTAACCATAGGGGCCATCTGTGTCGATTAAAAAGTTAGGGACATTTATGGACCCTTTATGATCTTGTTTGTTTGGCAACGTTCATATGGATTTTGTATAATATATATAAATACAAGGGTATAGTTTTGGCACTGTTATATGTATTATTTATTATTAATTATAGAGTTTGTTTTACAAACGAAGAATTTAAAGCTTATTAAAACCCAAACAAGATTATAATAAAAATATCTTCTAGTTACTTTTACATAATACAATTATAGTTTAATTAATTTCATGAAATTATAAACATGTTTTGTTTCTATAATTAAAAATGGATTATGTTATGTTTGTGCAGGTTGTAATTATGTGACTAATGGGTTTTTCTCTTGTAATATTTTGTGGTAAGTAGAAGGTGTAATCGTTGTGAGTTTAAACAGTTTTGCTAACTTTATAGAATTATATTTATGAAAATTGGGCATTTTATATTGGTTGTGCTTTTGCAATGATAAATGTGCATTTTTCTCTTCTGATGTTTTTATTTCGATTAAATGTGCATTCTATGGCTAAAGACAAATTTTTTTATTCCATTCCATATGTTTTATAAGAAAAGCAAAAATCATCCCATACAATAGCAATCTACTTTTTCTTTTGAGGGTTTAGTTAGTGGGTTGACTTGGAAGATTTTTTGTTCAATTCGTTTATTCGTTATAATTTAAAAGACATCTGTAAAGGTTAATTTTTCAAAAAATTATTATTTTTGTCATATCAGTTTTACATTAACTTTTATTTATTAATTTTTTTTTTATAAACTCTTTCTATGGTTAACTTTTGCAAAAGTTTTTTTTAGAAGTTAACCAATTTATCTTGCTATTTCTCGTATATTTTATACTCTCCTATATTTTTTTGTCTTTTTAAGTCTATGTTATAGTTTTGAAAATAACATTATTTGATATTAACATAATATAAAATAGTATGTTACAACAATGTTTTTTAATCATTGGTATTTGTTTTTTAATCATTGGTATTTGTATAATTTTGAAAAGTTTGACAATTACTTTTTTAATGATATACATTTCTATAAAATATTTCTAATGGTAAAAAGTTATGCAAAAGTTTATTCAAAGTGTAGTGCTACCATTAAAGATGTTCCAACTTAAATATGATTATAAAAATGATAAAATAATCTTGTTACATAAAATAACATTTATTAATAAATATTCAACTTGATTGATTATTTCCATATGATTTAGCTAAATAATTTTTAGTTTTATTTATTTGAGCAACTGAAGATAAAGTCTTTGCTAACAATTGTCTTTAAAAACATCATTAACAAACCTTGTAAACCATCATACATTTAAGTTTTGTTTTGATATTCATTGTTTGTTTTTAACATGAAATATAATCCTTATAAATATTTGAAATTTGGGAAAGTTGACCGTTGAAATAGATTGAAATAGATGAGATTGGCTTGAAACAATTCTTTTTTGTCTAATGTAAGTAACTAATATTATTAATATTATTACAAAAGTATATGATCATAATAACAGTATTGTGTGATAATCACAAAATGATCTCGAATCGATACGGAAATTTTGAAAAACATTGATTTTATATATTTTTTATTATATGATAATAACAATATGTAAGAAATAAAATATTTTTCATCAATGCTAGCAAATCAGGGTGTTAGAAAGACAAACTTGTATTATAAATATCTTTCAAAAAGATCTCTATTGACACAAAATGTAAAAACCCAACAAGGGTTATATAGTTATATTTGTGGACACGTATATACCACATAGTTTGTACTATTTGCCATGATACATTGAGTTTCGAGAATTTAATATCTCTCACGACTCACAACCTTCCAATGCAAACAACAAAAAACTCATTTGATAAACTCAATTCTGCGAGGAGAAAATTTATTTGACAACTCCCTCCAAACTAACCTTGAGTAAAGGTATATATAATAGTAGTTTTTTCTAAAGCTTTTTGCTATTTGAATTAGCTTTTAGAAAGTTCTTTTTTTTTTATACCGTTGGAGAAGAACGATTATTTAGGAGTTCATTTCAATAACTTATTTTTCCTATGACCTTTTCATTTTCTTTTAGGCTTTGTCACATTTGATCATTCTATTTAGTAATCTTTATTTTATACCCTAAAAATAAAAAAATTAATATACTTTATGAAAAATTAATATAATTTAAAAAATTGTCAATATTTTTAAAATTAAAACTATCAAACATTATAAAACATTATAGTTACATAATATTTTATTGTTTTTTAACTTAAAATTTTATCATTTTTTATTGTTTCAGAAAAAAATAGTCAACAAAGTTATTTTTCACTTTTATATTTTTTGGCATTAAGGATCTACTTATTATAATATTTTTATTTATTATAATTATAATGTCAAATAATTTTTCTTCCCTTCACAAATTAATATATATTAATAAAAGTATACTTAATAAAATATTTAAAATAAATTAGTTACTTTAATTTTTTTATTTTTAAAAGTTAGCTAGTAAACAAAAGTTTAGCCGGTGGAGCTATAGAATTATAGAAAAAGTTTTCCTCGTAGACCCACCATTTCACGGTAGGTAATGCTTCACAGCACGAAAGTCAAAATTGAGAGCGACGAAATTCCGTTTTGTGGATGGACCCACCATTTCCATTTAAGTAGACTTTTAAATCACCCATTTAAACCATATGGGATTTTGACCATTTCAGACTTGGAAAGAAAATCTAGTTGATAGTGATTTACGACAATGATTCTCAGGAGCAGTGTCGCTCAGCTTCTTCATCATCATCATCATCACTTTAATCAACCATCTCGCGTTCTTCCGCGAAAATCTTCTTCAGGTAACCTAAACGCTTTACTGTTTTATCCAGATTCTGTTATTACTTTATGTGGATTTTGATATCTGAATGCTTTTGAACTTGTTAATTCGCAGACAACAGTCGCATCAAGTTCCCAATCTCTCCACACACCCTATCTTTATCTTACTCTGATGTTCAATTGAAACGTAATTATTCCGATTCCTATGCTTCTGCGTGTTCTAGATCAATTAGCGATTGGGTTTTGATCATAAGATTGTTGTTGATGATATGTAGGTTGGGATTCCAGATTAGTGGTTCATAGGCGTGTATCTGGTGAGTTTTCTGATGGGATTGATCAGGATGAACATGAACCTCCAAATTATGCACAAATTTCACCTCAGGTACTAACTTGTTAGTTGTTACTCCATTTTCACATTTCACTGAATTTGAGTAATATTCAGTGTATAAAATTTGGTCAGTGATTACCCAAATAGTTCTTTAGGACATGTATTGTCAATTTGTCACATCCAAAGTTCATGTCTTAATTTGGTGATTGCTGATTACATTTTATCCAGTGAATTTCTGATAATCTACAGCCTAATAAAACTATAAAGCGAGAAAAATGGTGAGAATACATGATATGATGTATTCTTGTCATTTGCTATTCTTCTTTCATTTCTTTTAATAGTCGGGGATGAAAAAACCTTGAATAAATGTGTTTTTTCATGCTAATTTCATTGACATCAATATATGCTTTGGCAGAAACTTGAACACAAGACATCTTTTGTGGAAATTCCAAAGACAACCAACTCTTTATTGCCTCAAGTAGTTCTTGCTAGTACAATATTGGTTCTTGTCTTTCCACCATCTTACACATGGTTCACTAGCAGGTTAAATAATAGTACTTCCTTATGTTCCAACTTCCAATATATTAGTCCTTTTAGGCTCTATTTCTTACATAGGACATGATAATGTGAAAAAGACATGAATACCCTATTCATCATTGTCGTCAAAAATAGTCCTAGAAAGTTGGTCTGATCCCACCCAGTCTGGTTCTGTCATGTGTAACAAATATAGCCTTACGGTTATGACAGACTGAACCATGCTATTATTATAGTTGATTAGACATTTAAAAAAAAATTGCACTTCTGGTTTTAAAATTTTGTTTTTTGTTTTAACAAAAAAATAAATTTCAGGTATTATGCCCCGGCTTTATGTTTCTTGATGTTTACAGTCGGAATTTATTCAAATGAAAAAGATTTTGTTGAAGCTTTCAATAAACCACAAGCTTTTTTTGCACGTTATCTTGCCCAATTTGTTCAAAAACCATTTATTGGTTATCTTTTTGGAACATTGGTCATGACAATCTGTGGCTTTCCAACTTCCTTAGGTAAGTGTCGCTGTCTTTCTTTTTCTTTTTCTTTTTCTTTTTTTGGAACATTTTTCATGACAATCTGTTACTTTGTTTATTTTGATTTTGTAAACCATTTAGGTGCTGGGATTATGCTAACTACTTGCGTTAGTGGGGCCCAACTCTCGAACTATGCCACTTTTCTAATGGACCCCACAATGGCTCCCCTAAGTATTGTTGCCACCTCATTATCTACTGCTATTTCTATTTCTGTGACCCCACTTTTATCACTTTTGCTGATTGGAGAGAAATCGCCTGTTGATCTCAAACAAATGGTTTCCAATATTTTGCGGATTGTAATTTCACCTTTTGCTGTTGGATTGCTTCTTAACCGGTAAGGAGACAAATTAATTTAGTGGAGGGGTATTTTAGGCATTTACTTAATATAGTTTTTTTTATGTACAGGTTTTTGCCAAGAATGTGTAGCAACATTCGACCATTTTTACCCCCTTTATCAATTCTAGTGACTTCAGTATGTATGGTGGCTCCTATTGCTGCTAACATAAACTCTGTTTCATCGTCTTTTTTGATAAAAGTTTTTGTGCTTGTTACTGGGCTTCATATCTCAGCATTTGTCCTCTCAAATGCATTTTTACTCGCATTGTTTTCCACAATTCACTTGATGTCAAACTACTTCAGAGACAACTTTCTTACAAAACAGGTTATTTATCCATTTCTTCTAAATTGATCAATCTTACATATTGTTGTGTTTGTTTTGAGCAAATTGCAGGAAAAAGCAACGTGTTTTATTCTTTTTACCACTATACGCAATGCACTTACATTTGTTACCCATAATAGCTATGTGCTTTTTTTTTTTTTTTTACCAAAATAGAATGTGTTTACATTTCTTTACACATAATAGCAACTTGCAAGGCATTAGCCAAGGGGTATTTAACAAAGTGTAGGAGGAAATTGAGTTAACTTAGGGTTTTGCTACATGTTTTTTCAGGTTGGTAGAGATGAAGGGAGGAATAAATCTTGATGCAACACCTTTCGTTGAAAATTGTGGTGGTGGAGAAGAAGGGGGTGGGGCCCTTGTAATTTAATACTAATATAAACTGTAGTTTATTGGACAACAATAACAATAGCCATTCATTTTAAACCAATAAGAAAATCAGAAAATAGTCGGATCACTTTTAGGAAAATTAAGCGAACTCACGATCATTTGTCAAGGACATATCATGTGGGCATGTGAAGGCTTGTTTTACTTTTTGGTTAAAGAGTACAAACGAAAATCATTTCTAGAAAAATATATAAATATTAATTAACATACATTTAATACCAACCACTTTTCTTGAAATAAAAATAACATTTATGATATTTTAAAACAACATTTTTATCATTTTTTTTTAAAATTTTTTTTTATCATTTTTATCATTTAACGAAAGTTTTTATATCAACTTTAACTTTTATAAATGTTTATTATTTTTTTGTAAAACAATACTCCATATATAACAAGATTTGGGTTGAATGTTTGTTATAAAAAAAAAAACCAGATTGATATTAACTATTAAGTTCAACTCAAGCACAAAATGTACCAACAAAAAGGCTATAGCCAAATCCATGGAATCGATTTTAATGAAGTCTTCTCACCCGTTATAAAACACAACTCTCTTTGTAGCTAACTAAGTATAGTTGTTATGCATGATTTTGAGCTTTGACAACTAGAAATCAAAACTACATTCTTACACCGGAAGTTAGAAGAAAAAAATTTGTATGGATCAACCTAAAGGGTTTATCCTTCATGGGAAAGAAGATATTGTACAAGAGATTTAAACACCTTCATGCTATCTTATAAGGTTTTAAAAAGGTCCGACTATGATAGTTGTGTGTAAATAAACAAAGGCTTGGCTATTTACCTTCTTTTCTATGTTGAATATATGTTGGTTGTTGCAAAAGACACACCATACATAGAGAAACTGAAAAAGGCGCATGGGTAGTGAATTTGAGATGAAAGACTTCATGCAATAATGGCATGAAAATATCTAGCGATGGAGCAGATGGAAAATTATATCCAAGTCAAAATGGGTATATCAATAAATTCATACATTGATTTCATATAAATGATGTCGAGCTAGTGAGTACACCATTAGCTACACGAATGATGTCGAGCTAGTGAGTACACCATTAGCTACACGCTTCAAATTATTATGGTTGTATATGTCTCTAATTAGAGGGGACGAAATGAACACTTGGTTAAAGATTGAAATGAGTTAAAGGTAAAAACAAGTTTGATAATGGGTTGAGTTGACATGAAATATTATTTTTTTCTAGATATTTTTAATAGGAGTTTATTTATAACATATTACTATTCGTTCCATCATTCAATACTATTAGAATGTGTTTTATATATAAATGATTTATTTATCTATTGTGCTATTATTTTTTCTCATCTAATCTTAATAACATTTTCATTATATCCCAATTATGATTTTTCTTTTTTAACAATTACACACACAATATCTACTCTTAAATTTAGGTACTTTTGTCTCCAACAGAGCTTGAATCCTCAACATTTGAGTGAATGGAGTCTATCCGCCAACTCCTCGTCCATGTGGTAATTTATGATTTTGTATATGTATAAGTTTATTACTTTTCTTACTAATTAGTCTAATTTATTAGATATGTAATTTAAAATTATAATATTTTTTTTATCTTTTTTAACTACATAATTGATAACGTGCTTAAATACCAAAAAAATATAAGAAAAAGCATTTCAAATGTATGGAGATAAGTATTTAATTATTAATATTTTTAAAAAAAACTTATGTATTGAATAATGTTTTTATTTGATGATAATAAATAAGTTTAAAATGTTAAACATTGTCCATGATCTATTATTATTAACTTTTTATTAAATAAATAAGTGGTATGTTAATTCTTAAATGTAGTCAAAAGTTTGAAGTTAATTTACGAATAACTCTCAAACTAAAATTTATTTACGAAAAAGCAAGAATTACTGGTAAAAATAGCGATTTGACTATTTTTCCCGGTTTACTGGTTTTATTACTCACATGGTTCCATTAAAATCTCATTATTTTACCATAATTTACGAATAAGCCTCAAACTAAAATCAAGTGATGATTTGACTATTTTCTCCTTGTAACACACATTTTACCGGTTTCATTGATAATCTGGTTGCCTAATCATTAAATAAGCTAATGAGATAGATATGATAGGTTATACTCCCTCCGTTCCAAAATTATAGTCCGTCTTTCCTTTTTGGTTTGTCCCAAAATAATAGTCCACTTCTAAAAATAAATAGCATTTTTACCAAAATTCTCCCTCATTATTACTTAACCAACTAAGCATTTAATGGAACATTAAATGCAAAGTAAAGACAAAACTGTCATTTTATTGTATAAAGATAATGGTAATTAATGCTTCCTTAATCTGTGTGTTTTTTATTTGTAGACAATAATATTGGGACGGAGGGAGTATAATGCTACGTTTACCGTAAAACATGATATTCATCTCATCAGCGTATTTATGACTACGTGTTCATGTCAGCAATGAAATCGGTAAAATGTGTGTTTCCGAGAAAAAAGACCGGAAAATGGGTTGATGAGATGGATATGTTGGGTTACATAAGATTAGATAGACATTTTGAAATTTCTTATAAACTTCAAAAATGACGAAGTTGTTGGTAGTTTATATAATTATTACGGTCTTCATTGGATAAATTTTATATTTTCCAAAAAATATATAATACATTAGGATATCAAATTTTATAGTAAACATTACATTATATAACTCAACATATCTATCTCATCAGCTCATTTAATAATTATGCGTCCAAGTCAACAATAAAACCGATAAAATATATGTTATATTGAGAAAATAATTAAAATTATCACTTAATTTTAGTTTGAGACTTATTCGTAAATTAAGATAAAATAATGAGACTTTAAAATAACCAAGTCATCAATGAAACCTGTAAACCAGGAAAAAAACTATCAAATAGTTATTTTTATCGGTAATTCATGTTTTTTCGTAAACAAATTTTAGTTTGAGACTTATTTATAAAGTATGATAATATTACGATAATATTGAGACTTTTTTAAAGATTTTCGGTTTATTTAAAACAAATTATAACTAAAACATGAATTTCAGTTTTTGTTTTTTTATACCTGTCTACTTCAAATTCCCCCATATATATACATGGGTGGAGTTGACCATTTTAGACAAAGAAAGAAAACCCAACTGAAAACGTTTTAGGCTCAAGGATTCCTGATGATTCTCAGAAGCAGTGTCGCTCAGCTTCATCATCATCATCATCATCATCAACAACAACGGTATAATCAATTATCTTGCGCTGTTCCGCGAAAATCTTCTTCAGGTAACCTAATGATTTGGTGTTTTATCCAGATTTTGTAGTTACTTTCTGTGATTTTGATATCTGAATACTTTTGAACTTGTTAATTCGCAGAAAACAGTCGCATCGCGTTCCCAATCTCTCCACACACCCTCTCTTTGTGTACGTGCTTCTTCTTACTCTGCCTTTTTACTTGAATCGTGGTTACATTCCGATTCCTATGTTTCTGCGTGTTCTACTTCATATAGCGATTAGATTTTGATCATAAGATTGTTGTTTATGAGATTTAGGTTGGGGTTCCAGATTAATAGTTCATAGGCGTGTATCGGGAGAGTTTCCTGATAAGATTGATCAAGATGAACCTCCCACTTATGCACCAATTTCACCTCAGGTATTAAGTTTACCTCCCTTTTGCTTTTGATTGAATTCAAGTAACATTTCAGATAAATTTAAAGAAGATATCACTGTAAATTTGTGAGCCAAACAACTAATCTATGACCTAAGACATTCCCAGTTATTTCTTCTTCAAAAGCACATCCAAACACTCCCCATGGATGATTTTCATAAAAAAAAATGATTGTTTCAACAGTAAATAACTTAATAAAAACAAATCATAGCATGTTATCATCATATTTATCTTGCAAATTATGAGTATTCAACATATAAAACTGGGTCAATGGTCAATAGTTCATTAAGACATGTATTGCCACATACAAAGCTCATGTCTTAATTGAATGGTTGCTAATCAAATGTTAACCAATGAACTTCTGATAATTTTCAACCTCATAAAACTATAAAGCAAGAATAATAGTGAGAAATACATGATATGATGTATTCTTGTGATTTTCTATTTTCTATTGAAACAATCAAATATTTTCTATCATAAACTTTGATGCCAGGTGGTTTTGCTTACTTTTTGTTATTATTCAAGTCCCATCTCTTAAATAATGAAAAAATGTCATGCAATTCCTAAAAACATGGTATACATTGAATAAGAAATCATGGGATTGATGCTTTTAACTAAAAGCCACTCTGTGTAGTAATATTGTAAACCAACAATATATAAAAAATTAAATTCGTGTAATGATATTTCACATCAAAAACTCATGTAACAACTTTTCTTTAATTCTTGTGTGGTGCGAAGGAATCTTTCTTTTTCATTTCTTTTTGTACTCATGGACATAAAAACCTTCAATACATGTTTTTTTTTCATGCTATTATCATTAACATCAATATATGTATTAGCAGATTCTTGAACACAACACACGTTTTGTGGATGTATTAAAGAAAGCCAACTCTATATTGCCTCAAGTAGTTCTTGCTAGTACAATATTGGCTCTTGTCTTTCCACCTTCTTTCACATGGTTCACTAGCAGGTTAAATAATACTCCCAATTTTCCATTTATTACACAGTACATGACATGACTGTGACTATGAAAAGACATGAATACCCTTCTCATCCTCATCATCGAAAAGAACCCTAGAAACCCAAAAGGTTGTCGTTTTCTTAAAGATTTTTTTTTTATTTTAATAAGTTTCAGGTATTATGCCCCGGCTTTAGGTTTCTTGATGTTTGCAGTTGGACTTAATTCAAGTGAAAAAGATTTTATTGAAGCATTCAACAGACCAACAGCTATCTTTGCAGGGTATATTGGTCAATTTGTCCTAAAACCATTCCTTGGTTATCTTTTTGGCACAATGGCCATGACAATCTTTGGCCTTCCAACTTCCTTAGGTAAATTAAAACCCCACATTTTCTTTATTATTCCTTATCCTTATTTTTGTGGCTCAATTAAAAAAAACCCACATTTTTTTGATCTTAATAATTTTGATTTTGAACCATTTAGGTGTTGGGATTATGCTAACTTCTTGTGTTAG